GCGCTCGGAACACGCCGTCACCTACACACGAGCATGAATTGCACACGTACTCGGAACACACCATCACCTACCTTCTTTGTCACCCCGAGCACTGCCCATGAGGAACCTGGACACGAGGGGCGTGCTTGACAAGGACAGACACGTGGAAATGAAGACGCTCTGCGTGGGTTTGATCCGCAAGAGATGCCCCCACAGCAAGCCAAATGCAATCATTAACACTGTCATGTAACATGGCCCTTGTAAGGAGATCTTCCACACCTTAAAGAGAACACAGCAATTCACACGCTTTTTAGTGACAACAGGCAACGACCACACCACGCAGACTTTGTGCATTTCTATGTCCAGGAAAGGGGGCAGAGCTGAACTTTTAGGAAGCAACACTGGGGTCACACATCCATCATCATCTTAACACGATGAATACTCACACTGGGCTTCCTCAGTGCCAGGCACTGTCACAGGGCTGCACGCACACGTGTCCATTACACACACACACTCTCTCCCCATGTGTACATAAAACCTAATCCTCAGAACAACTTGAGGACAAGATGACAATTTCCCCCACTTTGAGATGAAAACGAGGCACACATAGGTTAAGTGACTCATCCAGGGTCACGTGGTCAGTATATGTTGGAAACAGGATGTGAACCCAGGCAGCGCAGCCCAAAAATCACGGCGCCTCTATCAGGTGCCTCGGGGTGTACTCAGCACTGTTAAATGAGATGGGAAAGGGGGGAGAAAGCACATTTTCATTATAAAATAATACAAACTACCTATTTACATACACATAAATATTACATATTAACCAAATAAATTAACCTGAACTCCTCCCATTCCACTTGAAGTACTCATTCATTTTTTTTCCTCATTGCACAGTCCCAATCAAAATAAGCATCAATTCCCTAATTCTAGGCCCTCTACTGAACGTGAAAGTTGGGGGCGGTTCTAGAAGGAAAGGACGCAGGGGCTGTGTGGCTAAACACAGGTGTCGCAGAGCAGCTGGGCACAGGCAGCTCTGGGGTGCCCACCCGACGAGCCCGCCAGCCCCAACATACACAGGCAGCTCAAGGGGCACCCACTGACCGAGCC